AATGTGTTTGGTATATGTTAATCAGGACAGGTATAAACCAATCCAAAGAGGATCTCTGAAAATGAGATAAGATTGTGTATATAAGGGATTTCAGTAGCTCAGCTAAATCAGTTATAAAACTTCTAATTTAAACTAATGCTACCTATATTTGGACAGTAAGAATTAATGGACTGCAAATCTACTGCAAGGAAAATGTTACCAGTGGGGATCCAGTCCAAGAAATCCTGTTCCTCAAAAGCAGCTCAGTCTCTTTGAATTACCCTGAAAACATCGAATTGCCCTGAAAACATCAAATTACCTGTGAGCCCAATGCTTCTTTGCACAACACCAAAAATTCATTTTGCAATGCTTAAAATAATCGATGTAAGCAGTTAACATTTCTCCATAATCTCCTAAATAAATCTAAATCCACTGTTAAAATACCTCTCATTTCCAGCTGCAGTTTGGTAGTGGTGTCCCAACAAATTTTAAAACCTCCTCCTCCTTTCTGCATATTTCTTTTTAGAAAAGACCAGTGGAGAAGCCAATAGATTTCTATAAATCACTGGTGGATGAAAACAAGCATAAAAAGGAGGCTTGAAGTTGTTTAATATTACAGATGTTTTGGAGCTCTATTCAGTAGTTGGCAAGTCACACGAAGCTGCTCTGAATTCTTTATAATCTAGACACAAAGATCATTGAACTCTGAAAGAACCTCTGGGCTTTTATTCAAAAATATGTTGGCTTCTATTTACCTCTTTCTTCATTTGTATCTATCAAATGGCTCAATGTATAAATAAAGCCCGGGTGTTCTTATTAGCTAAGGCAGTATTTCATGAAGATTAATGCCAGCAGGTTTTGTAAAATACATCCCTATTCAAAACTAGAGCATGTTTTGAATTAATTTTCATCCTGTATATGAATCAGGTATATTCTACTCCTTTTCTTATACAGAGCTCAGCTGCAGCATATAGGAGGAGCCTGTAGTGTTTAATTCTAGTCCCATCATCCATCTCCAGCAAAGCAGTTTTAACCCTAAGCATCTGCATAATCCCATTGACTTTAATGGGAGTACTCATGGGCTGAGGGATATTAAAATTATAATTGAAAACAGCACCTTGCTTTCTCGGGGCCTAAGTGACATATCTAGCATTTTACTGAACAGTCTTATTTAAATATTACCTCGTGTATATGTTATGAGCAAATCTTTCTAGTTCAATAAAATCAGGGTTATTGTTATTGAGTTAAAAAAAATTAAAATCTTTTCTTTGCCTGCAAAGCAGGCTAAAACTCTCACGCTAAACTGAAAACGTGATGTTGGCTAAAAGTGCTTTGCCAGCTGAGCCAAAACACAGCAAGATATTAATCTGATGTTGGTCTTAATAGAATAATGGGCAAGAAGATTTAATGGGATTGATAAACTGACTCTTTTAAAGAATGCTTTGGTCAACTACCAACTAGAAATTTGACATCCCACATAAGATATCAGCATTTGGCTAATTTTGCCTGTGTTAAAATTATTGTTCAAATGATCCCAGCTTTCAAGTGGTTGAGTGGGGTTTTTTGTGTGTAACATAAACACCCTCACAAGCAAAATCCCTCCACTGAGGCGGTAAGACTGTGATGAAACCAGAGAATGGAGAAAATATATATGTAAGATTATAGCGGATCACATGCAAACTGTTTGAGGCGCTCCAGCGTGATTTCATTCCCATCCCACAGAGACTCTGCCTAGTGTGCTCTAATAATGGAAATGTTTGGATTAGCCTATGTTCAATCCATTTGCTTCAGCACCTCACCAAATGTGAGCTATGCCATCAGTCTGGATGACTAAGTATTTGTAATTTAGTTGTAGCTTTCTTGTAGCTGTGGCAGTCCAAGGTCATTAGGGAGGCGAGGTTTGCAGGAGACACATTACTAATGCATTAGAACAACTGATCTGGTTGGAAAAGCTAATGCAGCTTTCTGGATACACAAGTTTTTCATTGGGATAGACCAGAAGTGTACCTAGAAACTCTCTGCTCTCATTCTCCTTTGTGCTCACCCGTAAGGACAAAGTAAATGTAAGAGCTGAAGCCCTAGGCTAAAAGTCAGCAGTGAACATATTTTCAGACACAGTGGAGGTATGTGACTGTTGCTGGGTGCTACTTGTACTACAGCACTGCAAAAGAAAAAGAAAAAGTCCCACTTAGGTGTCTTACAATTCAAACATAGAGAACAAAGCAGTCAGGGACACGTTAGCAGGCAAAGAATGAAGATACAAAAAGGAAGAGAATAGTCTATTGTCAAGGAAAAGAGCAACAACCCAGAGCTATAGAGACACAGACCTTCCCATGTTTTATACCACCTGATGCTCATTTCAGCATAACAACTACAGGTTTCCCTACAGGGTGACTAGTAAATGCGTGCTCAGCTTCAGGTCTGCCCTCCTGGATCTTTCACAATGCTCAGACTAAATATACACATCCCGATTTTTGGGTTTGTTATAACACTAGAAATTTCAGCTTTGTCTGATACTTTCTCTGATACTGCATCACTATTGCTATGATTAGAAGTCTCAGTGTGCTGCATCTCTAACAGAGAATTTCTATTTCTGAAATATGAAGTACTTGCACATGTTCGATGGCTGTTAACAAATGTTGAAAGATGCAGAGAATTTTTAACTGTAAGGTTAAAATGTAAATACCTCATTCTTGCAGTGGCATAGCTCTTGGTCTTGAATCTCACTGGCTCTGCAACCACTGGAGTTCTTTAGACTAAACAAAAGCTGAATTCCTAGGGTAGAAGGTACTACAATAAAATCAAATATCAAAACAAAATCAGATCAAATTAACTTAAAAATCTGTCGGATTTTTTTCCCTCCCTGCCATTTAAGTCACCCTTAAATTCGGGAGAAAGAGGCTGAGTTCATTTTACTGGCAGCACCCAGAAACATATCGTTATCTAAAGAGTACTGGTTCTGAAACGTCCTTTGTTTGGGAAGGTTTAACGGGAAAAAAGGGACCCTTAGTAACCTTAAATCACCAAAGCAGAATATAGAAGCCCAAAACAGAAGTATACCCTAAGCAAATCCTTCCCCTTTCTTAGGAGAACAGCCACCGTGAGCAGAAAACTCACGTTTTCTGGGATATAACAGCACTCAAAAGGTGCGGAAAAATATAATTAAAAGAAAATAAAAATCGCCATGACAACATCGGGTGAAGCCGCGGAGCCGAGGGGGTTGCCCGCAGCTCGGCGGCCGGGGCGCCGCTGCGGGCAGGGGCCGCTGGAGGGCACTGGAGCCCCACGCCCGGCCGCTGGGGAGGGAAAGGCAGTTTTTTTCTCTTTGAGGTCCTGTCATTCCTGTGTAAACAAGTTACGTTCAAGTGTTTAGGATATAAATTACGACCATGCAGGCTTGCCTCGGAAAGAATGTAAACACAGCACTGTGGTCGGAGCAAACTCTGAAACTGACTTTATAATTTATCACAGGCCCTGAGAAGCTCGGGGAAGAAAAGGGCATGTCTGAGCATAAGTGTGTATTTAAGGAGATGACGAGTCTTATCTCTATGTATAATTACAAAGATATAATTTTATATATGTGTGTATGTGTGTGTACGCATATATATATATATATATATACATATACATATATATATATACACGTGTGCACATATGCATGTAGCATTTTACTGAAACTCTCCCGCTTTTCAGCGTCCGGGCGCGGGGCCGGAGGGAGTCGGGCGGCGGGGCACGTCGGGGCTCTGTCCCCGCCGTAGGACGGGACGGGCTGCTCGGGGGGCCGGCGGCGGGCCGCACCCGACGGTGGGGCCGCGCAGGGCTGTGCTCCTGGTCACTTGCCGGGTCGAAGCGGGGTGGGTCCGTGGGCATTCCCCAGCCGTGGGGTCGGCGCGGCCATGGGCGTCTACAGGATGCACGGGCCAGCAGCTCCCGGCTCCGGCTCCGGGTCTTGGCCGCTTGCCATCCACGGGGCACGTTGGCATCGTGGGGACAAGGGTTGCATTGCCTAGGGTGCTTCGGGGGCCTTTTTTTAATTTTCTTTTGTTACTTTTTTCTCTCTCTCTCCCCTGCGGCCCGGTTCGCTGGCCACACCGTTTCTCGGTGCTTCACCGAGCCTTCATCAAGCCACGATTTTATCGCGGATCCCTCTCGCCGCCCACCCGTGACATGCCTTTCCGGGCCCAACATCACATTGCACAGGGGCTCTTGCTCCCGCGCCTGGCAAAGTCCCATCGGGCACAGAGGAACTTCGAGGGGGCTATGTGGGACGGGGACACGGGGACACCTGGAGGCATCCCTAAACAGCAGAGAGGGTGTTTCGGACCTGGACGGGTCCTCGAAGAGAGGAGTGTGCAGTCTGGACCCTCCTGCTTCTGTGTCCTCCACCCCGGTTAATTCAAAGTCTATCCAGCAGCGGGGCAAAGCAGGGTGGGAAGTGGTTGAGGGCAGGAGGTGCAGTCCAGAAACCATGACACCTCGGGGCAGCCACTCGCTCTCCTCCTCCACTTCCAGCGGCTGGAGGATGTGGGCTTGCATCTTTAACGACCTCGGATGCTGGGGTGGAAGAGTTTTCTCAGAGGGAGACGAGGGAACATAAGTGCCTGTCCAGTGATAGTCGTTTATATACATTTTATTGGAAAAAAATTTTTACATCAAAATATTTTGGCAAACTGTAAAAAGAATACATAAGTGCAAATATATTCTCCTTTTAAAGCAATAGTGTGTGAGTATACACGAGATTTATTTAAAATAATTTTTTAAAAATATTGTGGTAGAAAACAACTTCTGTAAAAATAAAAAACGAAACATTGTATTGCTGCAATACTGGAAAAAAATGAACTTTTCTTAAAGTCTATACACGAAATGGCTAAACAACACTGTTTTAATAATAATCAACTGGTCGGTGCTGAAGTCCATACAAAGTGTCCTTGGTGGGGCTCGGGGAGAAAACAAAATAAAGAAGCAAATTTCCTGCTAACGCAGTAACGGAAGGGGGAGTCCTCGCAGGTGTTGAGCCGAGAGATTTATTTTTCCTATTCAAATACACTTTCAGGTATAAAAATATAATTAATTGTTCCCTTTCCCAATGCTCGATACTTCAGATCACAGAAAGGCGATATATGATTAAGGCGGCATAAGGATACTTACGTCTCCCCTAAGGCAAAATATCACACAAGGCATTTTTCTTTTAGTAAGAGCTTTGGAGCATTATATCGGCTGCACGTGTCCTGCAAGGGATGGAGTGGGACCGAAAACACTGCTTCCTTTGGTAATTTTGCTAAGTGACTCGTGTACTATCAATGCTATCAGAGTGCACAATGTATTTAATCTTCGGTGGTCCGTCTATATCTCGGCTCTGTTCAACACCACCTGATTGTCTCTGTTGGAGCGCTGCCTTCACATCACGCAGGGCTTGATGTCTTGACAGACGCTTTGATGGTGGTGATGGTGGTAGTAAGATCCACTAGCGGATGGGTGAAAAGAAGAAATGCCATTAAAATTGAGGACAAAATCTTTCCTGTCACACACTGGGGAGGGATGATGCTGGTAGCGAGGCAGTCCCACTGCAAGAGAAGGAAATAACAAGAGCTGCTCAGAAGTCGGAGAACTCTGCCCGGGCGGAGAGCCTTTCCTCCCACACCCGCAGAGAGGAGAGGCTGCCTGCATAGGGCTGGCACACCGCTTCCTTACCCCGGGTCTCGGCTCCCCCCTGCAAGGTTTGGTAACTCCTCTTTGGCTTTCCTGGCAGTTGACTTGGACGCTCCTCCGGGGCAGAGCCTGCCCCGTTTGCAGGGCAGAGAGCCCCGACCGAGGAGGGGACGTGAGTTGCCCGGAGTCCCCCATGGCCCGCGGGGCTCGGGGCTGCACCCGTGCTCGTACGAGCCCTCGTGCCTGCTCTACGGGGAGGTTCTAAACTACACAACCGTGTGGCACGCAGGCTGAGGAGAGGAAGGCATGCGGAGGTGGATGTCCACGGACACGTGCCCGACCGCGTCCCAGGCGCACGCGTATCTCAGAGAATCCCTCCTGCGTGGACACACACGCACTGCTGTCTGTCTGCCCTTCTACCCACGTAGTTACCAGCGTGTAGGGTTAGTACACCCTCTGCATGTGGGGTAGGTGAGGGAGTGTCTGTGTCTGTGCCTGCGTCTGTGTCTGTATGTGTGCGCCCGAGGAGATAATGCCACCTGCGTGTTTTCCTGCACGCGTCGCAGCCATTTAAACCTGATTCCCATCTTTCCTCGCTCTCCCCCCCTCCCTATCCCGTTCCTGGGAGGTTTTTGCTTTTGACTTTAACGGTTGAAGATTGAGTTCCAATCACGATCCATTCGCGTATTGATAGAGTATGTATTTATTTATGTATGTGTGTGTAAGAGCGTGCACGCCTTTTCGCCTGCGTGTTTTCATAAACAGAAGATACACCCTACGGTTCATCAACAACAACAAGCAAAATACATCCGTGGCACCGACATGTAAATGACCTTGCAAATTCTCATTTTAATTTCCCACAGCCTAAGGCAGCCTTTATGGGACGGCATGGGAAACAGCACCCCACCCCCAACACTCCGCGCCGTAGGACCATGCTGGGATCTTTAGTCTGGCAGGGTTCCTACTGGATCCGACCTGAGCAAGGCCCGCAGGGTAGAGCCAGAGAGGGGTTTGGTTTGGCGTATGGATGTCAAACTCGGCTAGCGGCATCCTGTCAAATATGACCGAGGGTCAAGGGAAGAAAAAAAAAAGCAGCAAAAGAGAAGGAGAAGGAGGGGGCAGGAGGAGGAAAAAAAAAAAAAAAAAAAAAAAAAAAAAAGAAAAAAAGGAAGAAAGAAGGAAAGAAAAAAAAAAAAAAAGGAAAAAACAGGAGGGAGACGTCCCCGGTTTTCCTCAGGATGGCGGAGCCGAACCCTTTGGCGGCGGCGGCCGGTGGCGCGCACAGCCCGTCTCCTCCGGCATTGTCCCTTCCTTCACCCCGCAGAGCTCACTTTATAAAAGTGATTATTTCGCTGGATTTCCTCGGCTTTCTAATAACCCTGCTGGTATGCTCACTATAAACTGGGGCACTTTATTACAATCCTGATTCAATAATTTAGCAGGATTTAATAGTGTGCGAAAAAAATCCGGCTCCCCCCACCCCCCAGCTTCAAAATCCTTTTAGCAGAACCAAGCCTCCTGTTTCCAATTTTTTCCTCTCTTATACTTGGGTCTGATGTAAATTCGAGGTTATAAGTCCACCCTGACGCTGTCACGGGTAGAGGATTATTGACCGATCAACAGCGATTGCCACCGAATTTGCTTTGCATTTCACTAAGAGAAAGGGAAAGGTGAAATTCACTTGATGTTACTTTTGTGCAGAGAGGGAGAAAGATTATTGCTGGTTATAATTACAAATGAAAGAACTCGGATTCTTTTTCCGCATCTCCTTTAGCTCTTCTAAAATGTTTACGCCACAGGCATTTTACGTATCACGCACTAATAAGAATTGGATCCCCGTAAAAAAATAGAGTTGGTTTGGGGTTTTTAGTGAATCAAGAACTGGGGATGGCTTACACTAAATTCCTAGGCCCAGATGATGAAGATGTAAAAAATAACCAGAGAAAACCCGTTTTGCATAGTGGTGGCATTAAATCTGAGCTACTGGAAACGGACGCTCGTCGTCGGCGTTAAGAAAGTGTCCAATGGTCCGTCTGAGTCTATATCCGTCCTTAAACAGAAACAATTGGGATTTAAACCACCCCGACCTCGGAAACCACAGTGGAAGGTCCGGGGGGACCAGAACCCTTGCTCTCTCTCCCTCTGCATTTAGTTTCAGAAACGTATTCTTGGGCAGCTTCTGGATGAAAATTTCTCTTCTAGGAATCGGCTTTCTTACCTCAGGTGTCTGGCAGGAGGAGGAGGCAGTTGCCTCCCAGCTCTGCTCCCCGTGCCAGTCCCACTCCCGCTCCACGCGTGGGCCCCATGGGCACTGCGTGGCGGACTGTGCGGCCGCGAAGAGTAAAGCAAACAGAGGGAAACAGACCCAAAGAAAGGAAAAGAAAACAGAAATCCAAGCAAAAACAACAAACCAAAGCAGAAATTCCTAACGGCGAAAGTACGTAGTTCGGTGGGGGATGCCCTTGTGAACCCACTGGCCTCTCACCTCGGCCTTAAAAAGCACGTGGAAGGATGGCTTATATCTCAGAAAAGTTGGTTTAAACCTCAGCAGGAGAGCGCTGTAAGCACGGAGGAGCCCACCTGGGGACGCCCCTGGTCCCCGCACTCCTCTGTGCCAAAACGCTGGTAGGACGGTGACCCGCTTGGTAGCCGCCTCTCCCCAGAAGACACATCATGGCTATTTAGGGGTTTGGGTCTTTTTTTGTTATTATGTTTCAAGGGAGAAAAATTTGCAATCGCTTGGTCTCCCCTGTCAGCCCATATCCCTTCTGCGATGATGGCAAAGGGACTTGCCCAGCGGCTCGCCGTCCCCACGGCGACAGCAGATTGAGGAGGCCAGGGCAGACTCCGGCTCTCGCAGGACAGGAAAGTGATTGACAGGAGTCCAGGGAGGGGGCGGGAGGGGACCCAGAGCTGAGGGTCGCCTGTATTTGTTACTTGTTGAAATTCCCATAAAATTGAACAAGACCCCGCTCTCATAGGGGTTAAGTCAGGCTAAAATCCTCTTCGGTGTGGTCCAGCCCAGACTGTCTTTGTTTGCTTAACCTCTGGGACCTACGTTTAAAAGGGCTATTTGGAAAAATTCCCCATAAGAGCCCAACATCTTTTACCCATTTTTGTGCTCAGATATTTCTGAACAGACTTTGTCTGTAATCACCGGCCGGGGTGGTGGGGGGAGGAATGAAGGGGTGGGAGACAGAGACCAGAAAACTCTTTCCCTCCAGTTGCAGAAATATACTCGATCCGCTTTAATCTCTCTAGCATTTTTTAAGATAAGCGGGTGGTTTTGGTGTTAGGGGTTTTTTCTTCTTACTTTTTTTTTTTTTTTTCACCCGCAGGGTTTAGATGGTAATATTTGACGCCTTTATTTGATTACTCCCGCGACGCGTCTCCGCGGAGCGCGGTTTACCGAGGCGGCGGCGATGCCCGGCGGCGCTCTCCGCGAAGTGAAGCCGTAGCCCGGGACGGCTGGGCGAACCCCGCTCCCACCGCCGCGCACATGTCGCAGACACCGGGACGGGACGTGTGAGCCGCGTCCGAGCCGGCACTAAGCCGGCACGAGCCTGGTTTTCCTCGAACTGCTCCTTCTTGGCTCTGGGCAAGAAGGAGGGATGCTCGCAGCCGTACCCACCGCCAACCCCCCGACAGCCCCCCTGTCCCGAAGCAGAACAGCTCCAACCCACGCGTATTTTTTTCCTTCTTGCAGACAATGCACCTCTTTTTCCAACACCGTGGTGGTCTGGGGTTCCCCACGCGAAACCTTTGTCGCCAGCGAAAACTTCCGCCGGCGCCGCACTCCCCACCGCCCCCGTCCCCCTCCGGGTCCCTACCTGAGAGGTCGTCGCGGGGGCTCTGGTGCAGGTATCCCTGCTCCAGGGAGTAGGAGGGCACGCTGGAGTGGATGCCGGAGGAAGCGGCGTTGGCGGCGGGGAGGCCCTGCTGCTTTATGTAGGGCGAGGCCCCCGAGGCTGTCCAGTGAGCCGAAGGGCTCGTGTAGGGAGAGTGGCACTCGATGGCGCTCGCCATGGCCGGCGAGGAGGGCACGGGGCTGCTGCTGCTGTCAGGGCCGTAGTCCCCGTTGGCAGTCACCGGGCAGCTGGCCATGTAGGTCGAGCCGGGGTTGGGAGACATGTGCGGGACGTGGTGGCCGCCACTGAGTCCCTCGTAGCCGCTGGCCATGGCGTTGGGCATCATGTCGAGGTTGTAGCCGTTGGAGTGGCAGGCGAGGGAGGCGGGGGGCGCCTGGAAGTCGAAGCCCTGCGGGAGGATGGAGGCGCCGAAGCCCAGCCCGTTCATCATGCGGTACATGGGCTTCAGCGCCTGGCATTTCCTCCTGAAGCCGCGAGGCCGCCGTCGGAAGGAGCCCTCCTCAAACATGAACTCGCTGGCCGGGTCGATGGTCCAGTAGTGGCCCTTGCCCGGGCGGCCCAGGCCCTTGGGCAGCTTGATGAAGCACTCGTTGAGGGAGAGGTTGTGGCGCACGGAATTCTTCCAGCCCTGGTAGGAGCCGCGGAAGAAGGGGAAGCGGGCCTGCAGGAACTGGTAGATCTCGCTGAGAGTCAGGCGCTTGGAGGGTGAGCTCTGGATGGCCATGACGATGAGGGCGATGTAGGAGTAGGGGGGCTTTTCGGGCCGCCGCAGCCCTGAGCTGGCCTTCTTGCTCTTGGAGGACGCCGCCGCCGCCGAGGAGGAGGAGGAGGAGGAGGTGGAGGTAGAGGAAGAGGAGGTGGAGGTCTCCAGGGCGGAGGAGGGCGGCCGGCTCATCTGGAGAG